CAGCTGGTGTTTTTTAAAAGGCTACAAAAGCAGTGCATGACAGAACAAAACGTCTTCAATCTAATTCACAAACTTCTCACAACTAGAAAGCGCAGAAAGGAACTGAAAGCTGTCGAAAATGTCCTAATGAGAAGAAACAATGACAATCGATAAAATCGATAACAGAATACCACAAGAAACAAAGTGAAAATTCGCTAGAATTTGCTATCAAAAGCGCATCGTTTAATTAAGCGAAGTAGATCAGGCGCATTGGAGTGTTTTAAAAACCTGAGAAAACTTTTTCTTGAATCTTCCGCAAGCAAAAACTCAAGTGTGCTTCTTTGGGGCATGGAATGGGGAAGATTCCGGCAGTGCCTCCGGTTTTATCGGACGGAAGCCTTCCATTTTCAGGACACCAAGGGCTCGTTGTAGTTGATAGGTCCCGAATTGGGCCTTCATAGGCAATGTCCATACTTTGCTTGAACCACGCCATTCGCCTCCCTAAAATAATTTGATATAATTTGATCGCCTAAAGCAATTAGGGCCGAGGACCAGTTTTCGCCTCGAGAAGCAATTTTGGCTTTTGAGGTCTAGTTCTCGTTTTTTTGGGGACCAGCTCTCGCCTCCAAAGAAAATTTCAAATTACCTTTATATTAGTCAAGTTCTCTAGTCGCAACGCCTCGATCAACGCAGCCTCTCGTACAAATGCTTCTTCATCAGAAACACTGTGATTGATCTGAAGACACAAAACACCATGGCCACTTCCCCAGATAGAGTCAATCCGCTTCAGCTTGGCATTGGTTGTCTGCAGATATGATTTCAAGTCAGCAAGCCATCGATAAAATTCAATAAAATCTTACCATTTTCGCAGATTTCGCCTCCCTTTCTCTTTTGGCTTCGATAAGATGAGCTAGAGGACGGGCCTGAAAAGCTTTCATTATCATTATGCTAAAACAAAGTATATGAAGTTCCATGACATAGTGCCGATAATATTTTTAGGAGGAAGTAGGGCATAAGATAGAGGAGACATTGCTCATAATAGTTTGTAAGCAATACTTTTATGTAGGCAGCAGATGCGGTTCAAGAAATTATTGTATTGTAGAAGAGGGGGGAATTACGGTAATATTTTTTTTT